GTTGGTGAAAGGGCTGGAGCGAGGCAGCATGTCTGGCCTGGCAGGAATAGGCCTTGGGTTACTGCTGGTAATCCTGTCTTCCTCTTGTGGGATTAGAGAAGGTCAGAACATGTGGCCTCCTTGCCGTTTTTGCAATGGATCATCATTAAAATCATAGAAAATTGTAGTGGTAGAAAGGTGGAAGAAGGAAGTTAAGAACAAAATTCAAGATCTTTATAAACTTGAAATCTGTTTTTAATTTCCTTTTTTGCATGGTTTTGTTCAAGATCCTTAACAAAAGCTGGATTTTTTTCAATGTCAGTATTAAGAGCTCTGGTAGCATAGTGCCTAAGCCACTTGACTGCTAATGAGAAGACTGGTGGTTCAAACCCATTAGCCACTCCGTGGAAGGAAGATTGGGCAATCTACTTCCATAGTAATACTGCCTCAGAAACCCCTCAGAAACCCAAGGAGGGGCTGCTATGAGTTGGGGCCGACATGACAGCACATAACAACAACAGTTATAGGTAAAGTAGGTACCCAGTGAAAAGTTGTTGGTCTTTTGAATCAATTTCTGTATCTCTAAAATGGACATGGGAGCTCTGGTAGCATAGCGCCTAAGGCACTTGACTGCTAACCAGAAGGCTGGCGGTTCAAGCCCACCTAGCCACTCCACGGAAGGAAGATGGGGCAATCTACTTCCGTGGTGATACTGCCTCGGAAACCCAAGGAGGGGTTGCTATGAGTTGGGTCCGACTCGACAGCACATAACAACAACAACAACAACAACAAAATGGACATAATCTTCCTCCCGAGGAATGGCTGATGGGTTTGAACCGCCAGCCTTCTGGTCAGCAGTCACATGCCTTAGGCACTACATCACCAGAGCTCCTTATTACTACAGAGGACATTGAAATCATAGAGTAAAAGGTATCACCAAATAGTTACCATTTGTTTGTTCCATCTTTGACCACGTAAGTAGCATGAAGTCAATTACATGAGTTGTTTTTGGTTGGTTGGTCTTTTTATAAGAAAAAAGTCTTTGAATGAGTGCTTTTTTTTTTAATCGTTATTCACAATGTAGATGTCCTTTCTAAATATCTGGGAAATTTAGTGGAAAATGTTTTTAAAGCTGTGGAAAAGATTCTTGGCATCTTTCTCCAGAGAAGCCTTCTATCTACACACTAAAAGAGAGTTAAGGGGAGACATGAGTAAAATAAAAGGCTCTCACACAAATTACAGAGTAATTTTGCACTTCTTTCATTAAAAAATGAAAGTAGAAAAAGTATTTTCTTTATAAAATAAATTAATACTATAAATTTTTGTAGTCAGGAGCTAATTATAAGGGTAATCTTCACAATGAAGTATTTGTAAAGTGTATTTTTCTTATTTTTCTGTCACATTATATCACAGGCAAAAATCACAAAACATGCTCTAGTCTGGGTTGAATACATTCTCAGTCATTTACTGTTTCCTATGAAAAGTTGTTGGTGGTCCCCAGGAAATAAAATATGACAAATTTTAATAACTGGAGCTGGTCATACCTTTAAATTTGCTTTAGGTACTGTGGATTTTTTTTTTCTTTTTCTTTTTGACAACTGTAGTTTGTTTACAAGTTTTATAGTAAACAAAGAGATATTGTTGTGTCTTTGCTTGGTCTTTCTTCCTGTTTCCCAATGTAATTAGATTTTGTCCCTTTCTCCTAAAGCTGGAATGTGGCTATCAAGTCTTAACTTGCTGATTCATGTTCATTATAGTTTTTTTTTTTTTTTTTAATAGGAGCTCTGGTAGCAAAGTGGCTAAGACACTTGACTGCTAACCAGAAGGCTGATGGTTCAAACCCACCAGCCACTCCTTGGAAGGAAGATGGGGCAATCTGCTTCTGTAGTGATACTGCCTCGGAAACCCAAGAAGGGGTCGCTATGAGTCGGGGCTAACTCGATGGCACATAACAACAACAACAACAACAACATAGTTTTTTTTAATACTCAGTAGACTTTAAAAAAAAAATTTTTTTTTTAATCATTTCTTAAACAGGTAAAACATTCTTCAGATTCATAGTTCAAACCGTGCAGAGGAACATACACTGAAAGTCTCTTTCCTACCCGTCCTACCAAAACAAAAACAAAATTCAATGCCGTGGTATCAGATCTGACTCATAGCAACCCCTCCTTGGGTTTCCCAGGCAGTATCACTATGGAAGTACATTGCCCAGCAGCCACCCAATTTTCCTCTCCTGAGGCAACCAGCGTTCTTTCATGTGTACTCCTAGGCATGAGTTTATGTATATATAAGCCTGTGTGTGTACTTACTTATTTTCCCCATTACACATATATCAGCTTTCTATACATACTGTTTTACACTCTCCTTTTGTCACTGAATACTTTATTTTGAATATCGTTTCCTAACAGTACATTAAGAGCATCCTCGTACCTTTTTACTGTTGCGTAGTAGTTCATTGTGGGATATTTTAATATCAAGCAGTCCACTAATGACAGCCATTTAATCTGTTTCTAATTTTTTGCTATTGTAAGTAGTAATGTATGAATAACCTTGCACATGTGTCATTGTGCATGTCTAGGAACATATCTATAGATTATATTCCCAAAGAGAAATTCCAAAGTTAAAGGACACAAGCTTGTATCATTTTGATAATGTTAGCAATTGCTCCCTGTAGAGACTCCGTCAGTTTACACTCCCACTAAGGGTGACTGTGGTTTTGCTGTGGCAATATGTAGTGTATGTGAGAGAGGCAAGCTGAGTATTAGGTAATCAGTGCAGAAGTATATTTTAACAAAGGATCTTTTCGAAAGTTACATTATGCCCTCTTAGTCTTCTACCATCTTCTTCCTCCATCTTATCCAAACTAGTAATAATGTGATCAGAAGCATTTTAATATTATTCTTAGTAGTGACTAAAAGCATGAAGATTGAGATCATGACAGGTGTGGAAGAAGGAGGAGGATTCTAAGTATATTTATGAGAGCTCAAAAGTGTGCAGTAAATGACAGGAAGTTTTTTAACCACACACAGTTAAGCCAATACATGTACATCATGATGTTATTTTGTTCTTGTTCAAGCAACTACTTTGTGGTTTAAGTGAGTCAGTGAAACAAGTAGGCTTATAAAAGACAACTTTCTTTTAAAAGCAAAACTGCTGTTATAGAAGAGTTTTGTAGAAATACTTTCTCAGTCTTTTCCTTTTCTGTGCATGCCCATGTGTTTGTTCTACACATTTGCATCCTGATACAGAGGTGCTTGTTAATTCTAAGACATCCCATCATTTTTCTTACTGTGATTGTTATATTAGACATCTTTATATATCCATAGTCTGTGATAAATAGTAAAATTGTTGTTGTTATGTGCCGTCGAGTCAAACCCAACTCATAGCGACCCCTCCTTGGGTTTCCGAGGCAGTATCACTACGGAAGTAGGATTGCCCAACCTTCCTTCCGAGGAGTGGCTGGTGGGTTTGACCGCCAACCTTCTGGTTAGCAGTCAAGTGCTTTAGCCACTATGCTACCAGAGCTCCTAAATAGTAAAATAAGAATTTGTTTTTGACAGATATTTTATAGACTTTTTTTAAAAAATTAAAAATCACCATTCTCTTTGTATTGCTAAACAGGTATTACCATTAAAACATGGCAAGGGGAATGGACTATGAACTGTTCTTTCTTGTTTACTAAGGGGGGACCGTTTATTTAGACTCCATGTGAGCAAAATTAGGGTCCTTATTTATTGTTGATTGTTCAAATGTCTATTATCAGACATTTCTTCAAAGCCTGTCATTTGTGTGGCTCTGTATTAGAAACAGAATATTATATTAAATGTGGATTCTGGCAACACACAGCCTTCTGTCACCCTGTCTATTTATATGATACAGGCATTTACAACAGACAGTGTTATAAATCAACTCACCAAAGTAGTCACTGGGTAGAAATATTAAGTTACTTTTATTCAGAAAGCTTTCAAAATGATCATATTCTCTTGGCATTTGCAGTTCACTCATTTGAAGTTCTGACTGGTTTCAGGTGATTTTCTGATGCTGAAGGCCATTCCAAAATGAACTCCAAAATAGTTTTGAATGTTATTGGAATAAATATAAAGTGCTCATTTTGCATTTGTAAGCTCTGATAGAATTTTTCAAAAAATTAGATGTATCTTCTATTAAAAATATATGTATGAATGAATGTATAATAATTTATATTCAGCCTTAAAAACATATCAACAGTGATATTTCTTATTTTACCCACATTTATTCTTCTAAGTTATATCATGCCTTCTAAAAAAGAAAAAGAAAAAAAAAAAAAGAAACTGTTGAACATCTGAAAAAGAAATGTTCCACTTCAAACAAAGTCTTACCCATCTGTTTGAAATAAATTGTATATACTGTCAAATGAGAAATCATGAATATGAAGTGATCCCCAGTGCTGCTAACCATTTATTTGTAGTCCTGAACAAGTATATCAGCTACAGTGACTCAGATTCTAAAAATAAAAATAGTGACACGACAGCTCTCTAGTGAAGTTGTTTTACGTGTAGTTAAATTAATGGCCTGAGCTTCCCAGGTGAAAAATAAGTTATTGGCAAGTTTAACATAGTTATGACAATAGGATTTGGAATCTAAGTATCTGGGTTCAAGACCTGTCTCCACCACTTATCTGTGTGTCTTGATTAAGTTATCTAGGCCTTTTTCCTCATTTCCCTTCTATAAACTGAAGATGATATTGGTAACTACCTCACAGGGATTTTATAAGAATTAAATGAGACCATTCATGTAAAGCATGTAGCAGAATGCCTGGCACATAGGATGTCCTTAGTAAATATTTACAGTTTGTTGTGATTGTTCTAAGAGTAGTACTGATAATATGTTTTCATATGTTGCTGAGTTTTTTTATGTTATATTATCTTTTGAATAGATGGAAACCGAAATGGAGGGCGTGATGATAAGACTAAGAATACTGATAGGAACTATTTAAATATTTTACCCGGTGAGTATTGTTTTACTTTAAATTACTATTTTTTTTTGTACACCTACTCTTCACTTATCAAATATTCATTATCCAACATTATCCAACATTTTACATTTACAATAATAGTAAAAAAAATTTACCACAGATTTTCCAGCTGTCTTTTCCTTTATTATTCTTGGCTATGTTTTTATCAAATGAAAATTCATTCTGTGACTATCTGACTGTCTTGCGTGTTAATGGCATACATCTGGTAGTAACAAAAGCCAAGGTGTGAGGTGAGAGTAACTTCTGCTGTGATGGCTAAAATTATGTGTCAACTTGGCTCGGCCCTGATTATTCAGATAAAATTTGGCAGTTATGTAATGATGTAGTCATCCTCCATTTTGTGATCTGATGTATCATCTTCTATTTTCTCATAACACAGATTTTCACCAATGACCTGGTCTTTAGAACCTAACCATGTTGATAAAAGTAAGGAGTGGGTGTAATCAACGTACACTGAAATCATAAATTTGAAACATAAACTCTTGTGATAGACATTATAAAATGTCAGTATATCACTTAAAAACAACACTTTATTAATATATACACATACATGCAGTCATATGCTGCATAGTATCTGTTCAGGCAACATCTGACTGCATATATATATATACATCTGTGTTCTCAACACTTGTAAAGCCTATTATATTAAAAATTCAAGGTACGTACAATGTTTCCTAATAACAAACGGGCACTGTGTTATCACATGCATCCAAAACATTATTATTATTATATAGTTTTATGTTAAAGATGTTTTAGTGTATTTGGAAGTGTTTCTTTAATGTTATACATAAAACTAGACTAATATACTAAGATAAATATTTGACTAACTGATGTTAGTCAATTAGTTAGACGAACTGTACCTAACTAGTCTGACAAAATCAAGTTAAAGACCAACTTAGGAGTGGAACTCGTTTATAATCCAGAGACTCTGTATGTAATATGGTGTTCACACAACATCTAAATCACGTAACTTCCTATTTCACAGAACATATGGATGTTAAGCAACATATGACTGTATATATATATATATATATATATATATATATATATATATATATATATAATATACACTTTCACAGATATTTTCTGATTTAAATCTTTATTTTTATACTAGCGCTGACTTTCTTCCAGATCATGCAAGAAAAATTGTTCAGTTACATAAGATTTTTAGTTATTTGCTACTTCAAATTTCCCCTTATACATTACTTCTTAGTTTCTTAAAAAATTATCCAAGAAACAATTTTTCACTCTGAAATATAAATACATAGAGATGTAAACAGTTGAACTTGTAGAAAGAATGTGATCATCTCATATAGAATCTTTCTTATTTCCATTTCACCACAAATTTTCCAGCTGTCTTTTCCTTTATTTTCTTGGCTATGTTTTTATCAAATGAAAATTCATTCTCTCAGTCTTCATCCAGATTGTTTGTTCTGTGATCCCTAGTAGTGTTTGCCTAATAGGGCATTTACACAAAAGGAAGGCTTATTTGTGTACTTTGTAAAGTGTAAAGCCTTTTAAACTAATTGATAATTTGACAGTTTCAGAAACAACCATGCTTTTAATATTGCTCTATCCTCCTTTAAGGTAGTTTGCTCACATTTCCTTCCCCCCAGATCTTCTACATATAGGTCACATTCCATCTAATCTAGACAAATATCATACCCATGTCTGGTACTCATCTTGGCAGTCCCAGCCAGTTAGCTTGTGGTCATCAGCTTCCGAGTTTCCTCCCACCTTCAGCTGTCCTACCTTAGTGGATAATGTTAGAGTCAGGATTGCCTCACCACATGCCGTTTCCTCCACTTTGTGGAACAGGAAACCGTCCTCCTCTCCATCTAAAAATACCTTCATTGAGACAGGATTCATTGTAGTTCTCCCCATAGATCCAAATTTAAATTATCCATATTTTGTGGCTTTCTTAAAATGTGCCAATCTTATTACTTATTCTGGAGGTACTGATGTCTGATTTCTTTTCTAACTTAACTCTTAACTGCTATATCAGTATTTCTTTTTTAGGCTTCTTTGTGAAAAAAACTCATTATCTCGTTATTATTACCAAATCAGGAGGATATGTCGTAAGTCAGAATACCAAACTTGGAAAAAGAATACCAAACTTTCAGTTAGCAAACCTAGTAATATCTGAATTTCCATTTAAAGGATGCCTACACATTCAGGAAGTTTACAGGAGATTTAAAAAGACCCAAACCACGAATTCTCTTAAATTTTAAATAAAGACTTTTTAAAGTCTGCAGAAATAGTTTTATTTATAGTCTTTAAGCCAGTAGTAGTTTATTTCATCATTATCTAAGTATTTACAGTTTATATCACCTGTTTCTCACAACAACCTTGAGAGGAAGGCAGATAGGTATTACTTTTCCATTTTACACATGAAGTATTAGCTCTGGTGATATAGTGGTTAAGCATTTGGCTGCTAATCAAAAGGTCGGTGGTTCAAACCTACTAGCTGCTCCACAGAAGAAAGATGAGGCAGCCTGCTTCTGTAAGGATTTATATCCTTGGAAACCCAGTGGGGGTTGTTATAAGTCAGAATCTACTCGATGGCAGTTTGGTTTGGTTTTATACATGAAGTAACAGAGTCAAGAAATTGAGTTGACTTGGCCCAGGTCACTCAACTAAAAAATGCTAGAGACCAGATCTGCTTTAACATGCAATCTAGTCCTTTTTCTACTATGTTGTTGTTGTTGTTTGCCGTCGAGTCGGCCCCAACTCATAGCAACCCCTCCTTGGGTTTCCAAGGCAGTATCACTACGGAAGTAGGATTGCCCAACCTTCCTTCCGAGGAGTGGCTGGTGGGTTTGAACCGCCAGCCTTCTGGTGAGCAGTCAAGTGCCTTAGGCACTATGCTACCAGAGCTCCTATATCATACTATTTTTGATTACTACTGCCAGCTCCTTTACTCCCATTTTACTAATGTGTAATATGAGGCTAAAAGGTAGGTCATTTAAGATCAAACAATCAATGCCAATTTGGAGACTAGCAGCACCTGACTCTTACTCACTTAGTTTGGCCCACTATGGGACCACTGCCATATTTAACCTATGGCTTCTATCATCTGAGTTATCAGTAGGAGCATAGGATGCTCATTCATTCATTCATTCATTAGGCTAAGAAGGATATTGTCTCATACAGTCCCCCAAGGTTCTGATAAGCAGTTTATGTCTTTCAGGGACTTTGTGGGCAATTATTACATTTTTTGTGTGTGTGTGTCTCTGTCTGTCACTATCATTTCTATAGTTTCTTTTCTGCTTATCTAATTAATTCTTTTATCTTGTTAAGTTTAAAAAATAAAACAAAAGACCTTTGCCTGGGGCCTGTCAATGGTATCCATAGGAACAACTTATGTACACTGGTGACTAAGAAGGTTAAGTACTGTGCTAAAGTATAATAAGTATTTTTAAGTCTACTTTCTAAGTAAAGGGAGCTCTGGTAGCATAGTGCCTAAGGCACTTGACTGCTAACCAGAAGGCTGGCGGTTCAAACCCACTAGCCACTCCTTAGAAGGAAGTTTGGGCAATCTACTTCCGTAGAGATACTGCCTTGGAAACCCAAGGAGGGGTCGCTATGAGTCGGGTCCGACTCCACAGCACATAACAACAACAACAACAACTAAGTAAAATCCTAAGGTATGACCCTGAACCAAAGGTGAGCAAAATTTGTGGGGACAGGGTTGGTGTTAGAAAGGAGTAAAACTTTCCTAAAAAGAGATAGCCGAATTTTTAGTGAGGCATGTATGTACTTGGAAAAACATATTCTTTATATGTTTTATATTTTATTGATAGAAATTACAGAAAGTAAAAATGGGAAGATTTTTCTTGGCTACTGGGACTATATAAATTGTAGGGAGCATGGACTTTAAAGTTTGAAGAGCACCATTTCAGCTGTTGGTCTAAAACATACTCTCTTTTTTTATTTTAATGTAATATTTAGACAAGAGTTTGGCTGATTTCAAATACATAAGAAACATAATTTTCTAAGCAAATAAATAATTCTGGAACTTTAAGGCACTCACTGCCATAGTATAAGGGGTACCACCACTAGAGTCAGACATTTGGGCTCTCCCCTTTATTTATACAACAAATATATATTGAGAATTTATTATGTGTCAAGAACTGTACCTGGCATTAGGGTACAACAAGGACTAGGAGAGACATGATCCTTGCCTGCGTGGAACCTTTAATGTAGTGGAGGAGAAAGACAATGAACAAGTAAAATAATAATAATAAAGTATTTAAATGAAACATCCATTCTTTCATACAACAAATATTGATTGAGTACTTTCTATGCACCAGGAGCTCCGGTGGTGCACTGGTTAAGTCATTTGTCTGCTAACCAAAAAGTCAGCCACTCTAGAAGAAAGATGAGGCAGTCTGCTTCTGTAAAGATTTGCAGCCTTGGAAACCCAGCGGGGGTTGGTATGAGTCAGAATTGAATTGACTCGATGGCAGTGAGGTTGGGTTTTTTCTACGTGCCAGGTACTGTTCTGTGCACTAGAGACAGAGTGTCAAACAAGATAGATGGAAAAAAAAAAAAAAAACTCTCTAGTCATAAAGCTTAAACTATAACCTCTTTAAAATAACCTGCATAAACAAAGTATTTCAGTACTTAGAAGAAAATAAAACAGGATAATGTACAAGAAGGGGAAAGTCGTCTTATATCAGATAGGGTAGTCAAGGAAGATCTCTCTGAGGAGGTGATATTTGAACTCAGACATGATTGATGAAAATAAGCCGGCCATGTGACAGTCTTAGAGAAGAAACTTTCAAGCAGAAGCCCTGAACTGGGAATAAACTTTGCATGTTTGAAGACCTGAACAAAAGCCTGTGTGGCTAGAGCATAAAGAGAGAAGGTGAGACAAGAGGGTGTTGCAGAGATAGGCAAGGATGGGCCAGGTCAGATAGCCTCCTATAGGCTTGTAGACCACAATTAAGAGTTTGCATTCTTTTCCAACAGTGTGGGCCTGTTGGAAGGTTTCGATAGAGAAATGATATAATCTGGTTTACATTTATATCATTTTGGTTGCTAGGAGGAAATGGTTTGTAGGTAGACAAGAATGGGAGAAGAGAGATCAGTTAAAAGGCTATTACAGAAACCTAGGAGAGAGATGATGCTGGTGTGAATGAAGATAGCCATAAAAATAGAATGTGTAGATTTGGGATATTTGTTGGAGCTAGAACTTTAAATACTTGGGGGTGGATTGGATTGGGGATTGGGGAACAAACAATAAGAGAAAGAAAGGAGTTAAGGTCAAATGCTCTTTTGTTTCTATCCTGAGCAACTAACTAGATGGAGATTGGTCCCATGAATTGAGAGCGGAAAAGCAGAATGAGAAAGACATAAAATTGGGTAACATGTTTTTATATGTTATGTTTGAGTTATGCAAGACATTTTATGTTTCTACATCAAAATAGCAATGATGAAAACACATTTGATTTATTTACTTAAAACAAACAAACAAAACCTCACTGCCATTGAGTCGAATCTGACTCATAGCAACCCCTCCTTGGATTTCCAAGGCAGTATCACTATGGAAGTAGATTGCCCAACCTTCCATCCGAGAAGTGGCTGGTAGGTTTTCCATCTGAGAAGTGGCTGGTGGGTTTGAACTGCCAGCCTTCTGATTAGCTTTAGGCACTATGCCACCAGAGGTCCTTAGTGCTCACTTAAAACGCATTTATGAGCTTAATGCAAACTTGACTATTGTCTGTTCTTTTTGTCTCCTTCCTTAAGGAGCAGTAATTATAGTAATTTCTGAGCCCCAGAAGGGTCCTGATACATCTCTTCTAGTTCAGCTCTATTAGCTCATCTCTTTTTAGCTTTGCAGTTATTTATCAAACCCATCGATGAACATGATTTATGCATTTGAAAATCATGATTGTATCTCTTGTTCACAGGAGAATTTTACATCACACGGCATTCTAATCTCTCAGAAATCCATGTTGCTTTTCATCTATGTGTGGATGACAATGTGAAATCGGGAAACATCACAGCCCGTGATCCTGCCATTATGGGACTCCGAAATATACTCAAGGTTTGCTGTACCCATGACATCACTACAATAAGCATTCCTCTCCTCCTGGTGCATGATATGTCAGAGGTAAGCCGATCTATAAAAATACCATCATTTTAGGAATATGTTAGAAGTCTCTGGGTGGGAAAAACTGTTAAATACTTGACTACCACCAGTCAGAAGGTTGGCAATTTGACCCCACCCAGCAGCACCATGATGTCATCCCTGTCAATCTGCTTCTGAAAAGTCACAGCCTTGAAAACCCTGTGGAGCTTTTCTACTCTGCACACCTGGGGTCACCATGAGTCAGAAGCCACTCCATGGCAATAAGCAACAGTAATAACATGAATATGTTAACTCTTACATTATATTATAATAGTAACATTCAAAAGTTTACATTTTAAAAACACCTTAGTTTTCACAAGGACCTTTGAGTGTTATAAAAAATAATAAAATGAGGAGCTCTGGTAGCATGGTGGAGAAGGCGTTTGGCTGCTAACCAGAAGGTCAGTGGTTCAAACCCACCAGCCACTCCACAGAAAGAAGGTGGGGCAGTCAACTTCCATAAAGATTTACAGCCTCGGAAGCCCAGTGGGGGTGGCTGTAAGTTGGAATCAACTTCATGGAAGTGAGTTTGGTTTTTTGGTTTTTAAGTGTTGTATGTGTAATGTAATACAACATAAAATACAAAACAGTGAATAAACTTTAGTCATAAATGTTCAGAGAATTACAGCATTGTCCTACAGTAGGTAAACTGTTGTTATGTGCCGTCGAGTTGGACCTGACTCATAGCAACCCCTCCTTTGGTTTCCAAGGCAGTATCACTACAGAAGTAGATTGCCCCATCTTCCTTCCGAGGAGTGGCTGGTGGGTTTGAACCACCAGCCTTCTGGTTAGCAGTCAAGTGCCTTAGGCATTATGCTACCAGAGCTCCTATAGGTAAACTAGAAAAGCAAAATGATCTTTAGCTTTCGAAAAGGCATGTGCCTCACTTCCTCTTTTTCTTCCTCTACTTCTCCTCCTTCTCCTCTTTCTTCTCCTCCATTTTTAAGTAGCACTAGATTTACCTCCACATTTGTAGTTGGCGTAGGCTAATATTAAAATTACTTTGCATTCTCTGTGAGTATGTGTGAATAAATAATGGAAAGAGCTAGTAGATGACAGCAAGAAGCCAGCCCCCATTTAAACTTCTGTCAGAATGCTCTTTGGATAGCACAGTATTGACTTCTATAATTAAAGTGTAGCATAACCATCTATTTATTTCATTATGTACTGTATTTTGACATTTTTAATTTTAAAAAATCTCCATGGCTATGATTCTCCATAAGAAGTATGAAAGTAGTTAAAGTACTATGTTTTTTAGTACTACTGAAAAGTAGTTAGAAGGGTTAAGTTGTGTAAATAATACAAAACCAATTTTGAATTTCAGATAGTCTGGAGGAACAAAAGACCTCACCAAAAAAGGGGGTGCAAACAGGTCCTTCTCAGAGAGCAAGTGGTAATGAGGGACCCATATCAGCAACTCTACATGCTTATCTTGAGGTGGCATTGAAAAAACAAAAAATTTTAAGGCAAAATTGCTACTATTAGGTACATATTGTGAATGTCAAGAAAGAAGTTTGATCATTGATTCTTAAAAGTGACTTACCAACATAAAAGATTTGTATAAATGCTATATTGTACAATATAGTCTAAGAGACTGTTTTACTTTTTAGAGTGACTAAGCTCCCATTTAGTCCCATTATAATACAAGAGGCTTCATTGTAAATGCAATTTGTTGTTGTTGTTGTTATGTGCCGTCGAGTCAGCCCTGACTCATAGCGACCCCTCCTTGGGTTTCTGAGGCAGTATCACTACGGAAGTAGGATTGCCCAACCTTCCTTCCGAGGAGTGGCTGGTGGGTTTGAACCGCCAGCCGTCTGGTTAGCAGTCAAGTGCCTTAGCCACTACGCTACCAGAGCTCCCAATATAAACACAAAAAGTAATTGATTCTATCCAAGGCAAGATGATTTTAAATAATTTCAAACTCACATTCCATTTCTATTTCACCAGACACGTTGCCATCTTGATGAATGGTATTCTAGCACCATTCTATGAAAGCTGCATCAAATGTTCTAATTTTTTATTCCATTCACTTCTATAGCCTCAGTCATACTTAATACAGGCTCGGGAGAGATTGACAAACATCATGTTTTTTTGTTTTCCTGTGTAGCTTTATAAAGTTTTCATTTCATCAGGAATTTTTAGCCATTGTTAAATTATTATCTCTAACTAGTCCATCTATAAAAGAGTCTTTGGGGAGTAGCAAAGAAAGCTTATGATGAATTCCTGCCACAAGGAAATATCCAAACATTCCTGCAGCTGGACTCCTGGTTAACCAGTTTATAAAAATGGTTATATGTAGGTGGGAAACAACCTCAAAACCAGTGTTTACAGAAGTCACCAAGTTCAGATTTACTTCCAGACATCTGATCCTACTAGCATTCCCTCTACCACAATGTTACAAAAGTTACATGTTTTAAATTGGGATAGCCAGCTGCAGAACATTAAGTTTGTTTCGGAAGTGTCCAGTTTAATTCACAAAAGTATATTGAGCCGTGATCCTCCCATTTGTTGTATTTAAACAGCCATTCAGGTCAAGGAGTTTATTCTACAGCCTCAGACAACGGCTATGTTAGTTCTCTAGTGCTGCTATAACAGAAATACCACAAGTAGATGGCTTTAACAAACAGAAAGTTATTCTCTCACAGTTTAGGAGGCTAGAAGTCCAGGGCACCAGCTTGAGGGGAAGGCTTTTCCTCTGTGTCGGCTCTGGGTCAAGTCCTTGTCTCCCTTCAGTATCTGTGGACCAGGTGTTCCTTGGAGATCTCCATGTGTCACAGCATCAGTCTTTCCGAGTCTAGGAGGTTCTCAGCACAGGGACCCTGGGTCCAAAGAATATACTCTGCTCCTACCTCTTCTTTCTTGGTGGTACTGAGGTCCTTTGATCTCCACTGGCTTGTTTAATCTCTTTCACATCTCAAAAAAATTAACTCAAGGTATAACCTAATCCTGTAGGTTGTATCTGCTTCATTAGCATAACTTCCTCGGATCCTGCTTCATTAACATCACAGAGGTTAGGATTTACAACACATAGGATAATTACGTCCGATCCTGAAATGCAGGATAATTTACATAATATTGAGAATCATGGTCTAGCCAAGTTGACACACATTTTGAGGGGACACTGCTCAGTCCATAACAGCAGTATTCAGAATATAGAGGTAATATTTATTTTAGTTTTCATGAAGAATCCCACAGCATTTTCAGGTTTTGTTTTCCTCCTCTAACAAACAGAATTGATAGAGTTTAGTTACCATATTTACTATGTAAGGTAATGATGATAATGTCTGCACAGTCCCTATCCTATCTATGGTAGAAAAAAGAGTTGTAGAAGTTAAAAGAAAAGGAAAAATTAATCTATCAACAAGAAGAAAGACATACTAGTATTACTAGTTTAACCTCCATAGATCTTTGTGATCTGAAGATACAGTCATAACTGGAGTCAATCTAGTCTAATAGATGTGGACTGAATCTGCAAGTCAAGAATCCTGAGTTCCTGATCCTCTTATTTTCACTATTAACTTGCTGAGTTATTGGGTCTTTGGGGTTTTAGTTGTTGTAATTCTTGTTGATGAAGTGTTGTTGATTGTTTTAAATTGTATATTGGAGTATGATTCACATATGGCAAAATACACATACCATAAGTGTGGTAGTTAAGGTTGTGTGTCAACTTGGTGGACCATGATTCTCTGTGGCCTAACAATTATGATATGGTTATTCCCCATGCCTGCCATGTTGCCTGCCGAGCTTGGGATTGTTGCCTTCACAGCGATCTGCCATTTTACCTGGCAATATTGGATTCGTCAGCTTCTGAAGCCAGGAGCTTACTATACTGCCTGCCGTTCTTGAGTTCATCAGTCCCTGCAGCTGTGTGAGTCAGGAAAAGCTTCCATCTTGACATTTAACCCACAGATTTAGGACTCACCAGCCTCTACAAATGCATGAACAATTTCCTTGACATAAATTTCTCTTTCTTTATTTAATATATTATAAACAACACTGGTTTTGCTTCTCTAGAGAACCTAGCCTAAGACAATAAGTATACAGCTCAAATTTTCACTAACTGAGCACTAATATAAGGAATACCCAGATCATGAAAGAGGACATTACCAGTACCCAAAAAGCCACCTTCATTTCCTTACAATCACTTAAAGTACACACTCACCCCAAGAATAACCACTGTTTTCCCTTCTAAAAGCGTGGATTAATTAGCCTTGTTTTGTAGTTCAAATAAGTAGAATTATACATACTCTTCTGTCTGCTTTCATTCAATGTTGTTTGTAAAATATATTCATATTATTGTGTGTGGTTGTGTAGTGTTCATTCTCATTGTTGCATGTTATTCCACTGTGTAACTAGACCACAATTATTGAACCATTCTATTGTTTATGAATAATCGTGTAGTTTCTAGGCTTTGATTACTATAACTAGTGTTGCTGTAAACATTCTAGTACATGCCTTTAGGCATTTCTGTTGAATGTGTGTTTTGGGATGGAATTGTTGCTTCTTCAGGTATGCACACATTTGGCTTTGGTTAACACCGCCTAATAGTTCCCCAAACTGGTTGTACTTACCTATGGTTTTTGAAAGTTAAAAATAAGAAACAAAGCCAGACTGTTTCTCACCGTATTATAATGATTGTGAAACTGATAAATGCAGTGTGTCAGGTATGTAAGAGGCACATGCTTCAGAAGTATAATCTTGTGTGCATAAACTCAGAAAGTAATTTTTCTGTCTAACTTCCAATCATACGGTGGAGATCTAGTTACGTACCAACTAAATCTTAATAACCTCTACGAGAAATCCTTACCCTAGTCAGAAGATTAAAATAGGCTTTTTAAATTGAAATAGAAAGTATTGCCTGCAATTATAATCAGAATTGGTATTTTAACTTCAGTTTCACCCATTTAGAGTTTCTTATATGTGCAGTCCCACTTACCACCTATAAAATGTAGAGCCCAGTTTTCTGCCTCAGTTCTAGACTC